ACTCCACAAGTGGAAACGTTTTAGTTTCACTTGGTTATATTTTTAATAAAAAAAATCTTAAAGGAACCTTTGGCTATCTGTTTATTAATCGATGAGCAAAAAAATAATCAACAGATTAATCGATATGCAAAATAATGGCTAGTGGCAGCCCTACTATACTTACTTGAAGTTTGTTAAAGTTTTCTATTTTCAGATAATCTTTGGAGGATTTTATGTTCAAGTAGCCTGTTAAAGAAATAGATGGGTTTGGGATAAGAGAGTATGAGTTTTGCAGCAAATAAATGAACCCAAATGAATTTCTTTGTGCCCTCAGGGCTTCGCCTACCAAGTAACTGCCCTTTTTTTTTTTCTGCCAGCCCAATGTCTCTCATTTGGTCAAAAATCCTTGGTGGCGTCCCTATTATGCAGTGCTGACCAAACAATCCAATTCTCAGGTAGAAAAACCAATTGGTGTGAATTTAAATAGCAAACCTTTTTCTGCAAGGCAACACTGCTACCTACTGCACAACAGTGCATCCCAATCAGAACAATAATCTGAAAATGAATCTGTCCCAAAATCTAACAGAAGTTTTAACTCATCATGTTAGTGTCATATTGGTAAGGTTTGAGACATGCAGGTAAGAATTACAGACACCAAAGAGGAGTTGCATATGTTTTATACAAACATGATTCTTCCAGGTCTACATGAAAGGTCTAGGATGGCATTAGGGATATTGGGGTAAGTTTTTATTATTACATTTTATTATACAAAGTAGGTGGAAATTCAAGAAGAGATGTTGGGATAGCTGACATTGGCTGATGCTGTTGGTGCTTGTTGTTGGTAATGGCTTCTTTGTGCTCTTGTTGCCAGGAGTGGATATAATGGAGAAGAGCATTGAAGGTTGGACAGCCAGGTGAGTAACGATGAATAAGTAAATTATAGAAAGAGTCCTAACAGCAGGAGGAGCAGCTAGAGAACATTCATTGAGACAGGATTAATTTGGATTATTTGACAAACTGAGAGTAAGAAGGCAGAGGTCTGGAATCCTGAAACAAACCACAAACCAGGAAATTGATTTCCCAGCTGAGAAGTAGAAGCCCTGATTACCACTTATAGACTAAAACAAAATGGCACCTGCATAAAGAAATCTGCTCCTTATGAAGCTTTTCTTGATGGAACAAAACATGTTGCTGACACCCTGCAATGAGAGCTACAATAACTTAGCAAAAAGATTCATTTTGATTTGTTCACTTGTTTCAGAAAAATATTGAACCATAACATTTGGCTATTTTTAACAAGGGCATGTAGGACTCAACAACACCACACCTTGGCCATCAGAGCGGTATAGTAAAAATTAAACAAAAAGGCTTAGAAAGGAGGACGGAAGTCAAAACATCTTTTTGTCTCCCAAATCTTTTTATTGAAAAGTCAGAGGTAGAAACAATAAATTGTCATTGTGGTTACAAGACTTTTCGATTTAGAAACTTTATACAAACTCAAAACCATACCTCCCCCACCCCGACTGGACCCAGAAAAAATTACATTAACTGTGATTGTAATGAATCAAAAAAAAAAAAAAAAACTGCACCAACAGTAAACTTCAGTTTTTGTTTGTTAAATGTAGGTAGGCATCAGAATAAACAAATTAAAACAGTAAGTGAATAGCTCAATCTGCATTCCAAGGTCATCGTGGCCAACAAAGTATGCCTTTGTGTATGCTCAACTTTTTTAATTAAAACCATAGAATCTCTCAATTTAATGCAGTGTTGATTGGAGTTCTTGGAGGCCACTAAAGTATGATAAAAAAAAGGGTCCCTAAACAGATTGAAAGTGGTCTGAGCGCCTTATAGCAAATTTTATTTTTTCCAAGTGCAAAAATAGCATTACTGTACATCTTTCAACCACTGAGCGACAGTATGTGGCGCACTTGACATCCAGTGAAGTAGAATTCGCCTTTGTGCAAACAGAGAAACAAATGCTATAATGTTCTCTTGGTTCTTAGCTAAATTTGCTGTATTCCTTGTTTGGTACCCCAAAAATGGCAAGACCCAAACATATGAGTCAAATCTGCAACAATAATATGAAATCTAATACAATTGCTGTCAAAATTTGGGAATATTGAAGAGATCCTTGCTCTACTCCAGTGCAAGCGATGGACAACCTTAAATTGAATGATATTTAGTTTTGCACAAGACGTGCCACTGTTCACTCTTTTTAAAGTGTCAGCTCTTTTTAAAGTGTCTGGAAGTCAAAACATCAAATAATATAATGCCATCTTCCAGACTTAGTCTGTGTTGAACATCACAGAGCACTACAGAAGAGCTTTTCTAAAAGTGACAAGAACCTATGTGAGAATTATTCTAAGTATCACTGTGTTTGCATCCTCCCAAATACCAGCTTTAGGAGAGGAATATTTTGTTTAGCGTGAGAAAGCTCTGCTTCACTTGCTAGGAAAATAATCAATTTACTTGAAAACTTTTTGCGCTTCAGCTAGCAAAAAAAACTTGAAAACCTGTTGGTAAATTTTTAGAATAGAATAGAGTTCAACTTTATTGTCATGGTAAATGGCAGTTAGGATATATACCATATATATATATGGTATA